ATTCCCCAATAGCTTGACGCAAGACAGGAGCCTCGAAATTGGAATCCCCCAATAGCTTACGGCAAAATGCCACCCTGCTAAGTGCAATGCCGCAACAGCTTAAAACAAAACGGCAGCAATTGCTCCTAAGACCAAGCAAGAACGCAAAAAAAACAAAAAAACACTCTCCCCCCAAAACAAAGAACCAGATATTTTCGGAGCCAATGCTGACTAGCTGCACAATCTAAGGAATTGCTGCACGAAGCTACACCAAGCAGAACAGAAAAAAATACCGAAAAAAAAGACCGGAAAAAAACGGTGACTACAGGTATGTCGTCATAGTGCCCCACGAGTCTGCTTTGTGAAGAAGGAATCTTGAGTATAACGTGCATGACATTTGGATCAGGCCAAAAGAAATTGGAAACATGCTATCATCACGCCACATAACATTTGTAAAATGTAAATCTGCAGAATAACCTAGTTAAGTGTATGAGTTAGGATGAAGTATTCAACATTGTGCTTTTGAATGCTTACAGAAAAGCTTGGTTTAAAGAGACCCAAAAGGTCAGCCACATATATATATACATACATACATACATAAGTTTGTTTATCTATTCATATAAGAAATGCTATCCAACAGTATATCCATGCATATAGATACGCATATAGTATATGCATGTACACACATGCATGAATGCATATATGTAATCATGCATGCATGTATGCAGCGAAGGGTTGAGATCTCGAAAGGGCGTTGGGCGGCCTTGGGAACCAGAAAAGCTGAATTTGCAGAGAGTGACTTGGTGTAGAGGTTTGACTCCCAATCGAGTTTCCCCTCAGCCTCTGCGATCGACTTCGGAGCTCTTCCGCATGCTTGGCATGCTGTGACACACGTTAGGGCGTCGGGTGGCTCCGGATCTGCTCTGCCAGGTTGCCGTGAACGACGGGGATGACCTCTTGGAGAGCACACCAAATTCGAATGCTCCTTGGCCACGCAGCAAAATGCGGGGGCAGAAATCATCTTGACAGTTGCTGCGGCTATGGCAGCTGTACCAAGTACCCACATATAGGCATGAATAGTTCACGTCGGTTTCTGGGGCTGCATTGTTTCAGGGCGGGCATGGGTGGGATGGGCAAACAGAGGCTCCGTTTAGCTAATGGCAGGTTGTTGATTGGATGCTGTTCTCGTCTTTGCGTCTGATGCCCGAACGTCGGCATTCGGAGATGCGCTTGGGTCCAGTGGCGTTTGCGGCCGTGCAGTTTGACGACAGCTGTGGCGGTTCGGCCTTGCCAGATCCAATGGCTCGGCCGCTAGGATTTCCTGCTCCGTACTCTTACTCCCCGCCTTGCTTTGGATACAGAGAAGGAGACGATTTCTGTCCCTCCGGGTTCGGATCGGGTTGGAGATAGAAATGCCGGTTTTCAATAAGCCTGGGAACAATGAGGCCATCTCGATCTTGCAAGCTGCAGAAGGCATTGTCCGCTCTGTCCGGCGGGGTTCTCCCGGCCACAACCCAAGCTTTCGATCCGGTTTAAGTGATGCCCTGCCCTCTTGATATACAGCGGTGAGGTACAACAATTGTGTTTCTCGAGATGTTCTTGCGCGACGACATGGAGGCACTTCGTGAGCCTCCGCACAGCCGAAATCCAAAGGATCCGAGGCCAGGCTAGAGGTTTCGCAGCGAGTCTTTCATCAGCATAAACAGCTTCTTAGAACAACGAAGGATAAGGTCTCGCAACAGCAATGGCTGATTGGAGCTCACGGCCTCTAAAAAAAGGATGTCACTGCAGGAGCTTCTCACCGAGCCGCCACAGAGGCCATGCCATAATAATGGAGACCGCACCACGTGAAAAGCCATGGTTGTGTCGAAGCCTGCTCGGACCGCAACCGTGCGCAAACGCGCCAAGTGAAGGTAAACACGCCGGCCCTCTTTTCCCGATTTCGACAGAATCAACCATCGCTCATGTCAAGAGCACAACAAATGGTATTAAGCACCTTCCCATCGCACACTTTTGTGTCGCCCAGCTCGAAAATCACTCCGAACAAGGCTCCACTCCACAGATGCAACGGCTTCAGCTGCGCCGACTGCACAAAACAGGTCGAGCGTCCATCCCGATGTCCAGAGGCAAGAGGCTGCAAGCTTGAAAGCCTTTTCAAACGAAGCCACCTGTCACCTTTCGCGACCCCACCTTCCCGATGTCAAGCACAATCCCCCCCAACAGGCAACATGGAGATTTTAAGCGCGTCGTGATGGAGCAGACGGAAAATTCAAAAGCTGTGGAGGGCTCTGGTGAGCAAGGGGATTAAGTCATTCACCGTTTGACTGCCATAGCCACAGCCCAGAAACACAATCAACCACTCCGGTGAGAGCGCAGAGGATACAGCACACGGCTGGCCAGAGGCTACTGACATGTCATGAATCAGCTGATAAACGGAAGGCTCGGTGACCATCGTGCCTTCTTTTTAACATTTTCAACTGGCAATAAGGGCTTGCCTGGGATGCCTGGCGCAGTCTGGTTTACCGCATTGTGCACGCTGGGAGGCACGCATGTTGAAGACGGGGTCGGAGGCTTGGCAGCACAGCTCGATGGAGGCTTGGACCTGTACCGCATGCACGGAAGTCGCACATTTCATGAAGCATTGCATCAGGAGGCCATTATGTGGTACCATGATGTAGCTCCACGACTGCATCGACCAGAGCCTAGCAGGCTGATATCAACGGCTCAGTGGCGGGCTTCACTGCATCAGACATCTTGCGCCGTTGGTGGATCTGAGGCCACGTTTGTTCCCACTATGGGCTGGCTCAGATTGATTTGGCCGTGCCCTGAATGGACGGGGCGGTTCCCTGCCCTGCATGCTTTGAGCACAGCTGCGTAACGTCTGGGGCTGGGGTGCTTGGCACCATACTCATGATCTTGTCTTCACTTTCATAATGATCGTTAAAGGATCCGTGGAGCGAACTAGTGTCGATCATGACGCCTTGTTGGTCCTCGGTGCGCTCGGTGGGTGAGTAGTTATGCCGATGAGATGTTTTTGGAAACTTGATCATCGCATCTCGATCGGTTGCACGCAACTCCCGCCGCATGTGCATCTCTGGCACCTTTTGGCGAATGCAAGTGCAGAAGTCTCGCAACCCTTCATGCTGGTGCGTGCGCGTCTTATGATGAGTGTAGGGTGGTCAATGATACCATATGACACCCCTGCGCGGTGCCTGTGCAAGCGCATGTGTTACCTGTCGTGCTTTCCCCCAACTCATCGCAGCTGGGGCTGTCGTTAATTATCGTTCTCTCATAGATGGGAGATGGTAGGACTTGAGCCTGTGGTGCGTTGCATGGCATAGGTCTTTGTGACGTTGGTTGGCCACTATTTTTTTCGTGGGACCGCCTCTATCTGCAAAACGGCGCTTTGCGTGTGGTGTCGTAACGGTTCGTGTTGCGAATTGACAACCAGCTCGGTGGACGCGGAGTGTCCACCTCGTCCGGCAAGCGGGATCCATTGTAAATTCCATTATGATGGTCTCAAGTCGGTCTCGAATTGACACTGGCCCTTTCGGTTGATGAGCTCGCCTTCTGCACATGGATGGTGTGGTGACTGGCCAACATGCCAGCAGTGTGATTCCAAGAGACGCAAAACTGCAACGTCGGCGAGATGGTGTCGAGACCAGGGTTCGAGATGCTACTTGTGCTGGTCGGATGTGCATCCCACCCCAGCAACTTCAATTGTCCTTCCTGGTGCTGGCAAACCTATGGCTGCTGATGGAAGTTCCCGGCAAGATGCCAAGCCTAGCTTTTGACTCCTTGTGCAACAACATCAGCAGATACGGGTATCACAATATCAGCAATGCAGGTTGGCGAGAAATCACCTTAATTACCACATGAGGTTTGGTGTAGTATGTCGTGAGGAAACGAAATGTTCATGCAACTGGGGGTTGTTCGGAAACCGCTCTGGCAGGTTCAGGAAAAGGTGGACGGTGTGAGTTTGCATCCTTCGTAAATTCCAATACCTTGGCCCCCTGTTAATCTCGAGCTGATAACCCTGTCGGTGCTGCACTGCGAGTTTGGCGCCGCATTGATTGTAGTTTCGAAAGGTTGAATCCCACCAGTACTTGTGGGAAGCATTTTGGCCAAGTGTCCGGCCAGTACACGGGGATGCATTTTAGTTGCCCGAGTCCGCATCCTCCGACAAGCGCGATCCAGCGCACATTGCCCACGGTACACAATAGCCTCATGTTGGCATTGGTTTGCGAAGGACAACTCTCTCGGTGCGCCGGGCGCTGCGCATCTGGTGCTGCAATGGTTCTTGCTTCGAACTGCGAAATGTCTGAATCGTGCCAGGAAACTGGGGAAGCACGCTAGTTATGTCTTGGAATCCCCCATGTGAGGAAGCAGTGCGGGAATGACTCTGAATCCGCTAGAACATGGTGGGTTGAATCTCTTCGGCTATGGTCCCGAATCCCGTCGGCACATAGGGGGGAGCATGTTGGTCGAGGGTTTGTGAAGGGGCGTGTAGAGAATGTTTCCAGGGGTGTATAGAGGAATTGTACATTGGTTGCATGGGTGAATGCATGAGATGACGTTACCTCCGTTAGCTGTTCCCTCGCATTCGAAGCGCTTTCGGGACACTTGGCCACCAATGCACGTGACACCTTGTCAAGTTGCTGATGGACCTGTGCCCAAATCGCAAAAGCCGGGATCTCTTACCGTATCCGTGTCATCCCATGTCCAGACCTTGCATTCCAAGATTCCCGCTTTGCGTTCCTTGGGAGTGGAGCAACGCTCGGAATGGTTTCGGGATGATTGCGATGGCCTCAGCGAGTTGCACAACCCTCGCTTTTCGACATCACCAGCCCTAGTGCCGCAAAAGGCCATCATTCAGATGCAGGCGGCGAAGCTCTGGGCAATTTGTTGGCCAAGCTTCTGCTGTGGGCAGTTCGCCAGCTATGCGCTCATCATCACTCATCTGGTTTAAGATAGTTTAGATTGTCGTTTACTTCGGGTGGTTACGTTGCATATTGCGCTGGAATTGTAGATCCGCCGGTTCAACCAACTTGAACAACCTCCGTCGTTGATGCTTCGGCAGCCCAGGCCAGCCTTGACTGCATTGAAGGCGCAGCGGGCTGCAATTCTGTGGTGAGGTGTCTTCTTTCACACTTTCAGGTTCCAGCTGCCCCCAGCGTCCCAGCTGCTCTAGATGTCTGTGCCTGAGACACAGCGCAAGTGGCGAGCACTGCAGTCATCTGCAATCGAGGCTGGCTGCTGGTGCAATGGCAAAACCATCCGGGTCGGATTACGGGCTCGAGTATGCTCACAGACACAGAAATCAATTGTTGCGGCATGTTGTGGGCAGTCCTAGCTAGTTTGTGGCTCTGACGAGGGTGAGCACAGGTGCTTCGTGGATGGTTAAGTCCGGCTTCCTTGGTATCCACACGGAGGGACAAGGCCGTCGACTGCAAGTGTGCGATAAGCCGAACTGGACAACCAAGCAAACCGAAAGCATGCAAAATTGACCTGAGCACGCTGATGTTGCAGGGCCACCCACACACCAAACGACAACAAGGCGTGCAAAAGCTCTTCATTCTTCTTGACATGCTTCGGGCATCTTCGGGCAAACGACGAAACTTTCCAGTTTTAGCTTCCAAATCAAGCCAAAGCATATGGAGCTTCACGGTCCAAGGAAGATATGCTTGCTGGTGCGGCATGGCACGGCGGCAAAGTGCAACTGAAAGTCAAGGCAAGCTGGCTAAAACATAGGTAAATATGCCTTGTTGGGTAAGCGCAGTAGGTCCGGCACACCATGCTATGGAAAGACACAACGCCGGCCAGATGGGAAAGTAGAAGAACATCTGAAATCATGGCCAGAAACTCCGGCGCTGTAGTGTAGGCAGGTCCACTTATCGCTTGGCTGCAGTGACAGACTGAAATTTGTTCGGCTTTGATGGTGTCACATTCGTCGTGAGGACTTGCTGCACCTTGGACAGCAAGCGGACCGAGTGCACGCCAGTCATGCTGTCCGCGCTGCCATGTCTAGAGCTGCCACTGCCTGTTTCTGGAACACTTGTGGAACGTAAACCTGCGCAGTGGAGGACTGGCTTCTTCTCTATACAGCGGGCAAGGCAGTGGGCAGTGGCTGCTCAGCAGGAGAAAGCTGTTGACCCTGTGCTGACAGGCGACAATTCCTTTCAAGGGCAGCTCCTGTGGTCTGATGACTTTGCTCGGCGCAATCCTTGAGTCTTGCTGCAAAAGACAGTGGGTTCAAGTCACATCAACCAGGCCCAGATGCTCCTTGCCTGCTCTGGCCCTAATCCTTTCGAGACCTCTCGGAAGAGATTTGGCTGGTTTGCCGGGGAAACGAGGCAAGTCAGAGTGGATGGGGGTGCTGTGCGACGTCTTTCGCTCCTGGATCAGTGGTTGCAAGCCTGGAGATACACTGTGTGGCATTCAGATGCTCTCAGATGCCAGACCGGTTAGGTGCTTCTACTGGCGAGATGCTGTTGTCCTCCTTTGTGATGGCCTTGCAATGCCAGCATGTTAACACCGATTCAGCTGAGAACCGTCATGGCAGCATGGCAGTGACATCCGTGCACCGCAGCTTTATAACCATCAGCTCTAGGTTACATGCCGATTACTGCAGGGATGCTCTCAAGCTGCTAGGGAAAATATTCACAGAACAGAAATGCGGGATGACACTTTTTGAGCACAGATGCCACGCACGTTTTGACTGCCTCCCAGCTCCCACTTAGCGCAGCCAAAGCCAACGTGAGCTCCGCCAGCCCATGCCATGGCCGTGGCAGCACATGATGTGGCTAGACAATGGGTGCAGCACCAGAAAGAAAGAGAACAGCACTTTCGGCAAGAATGTCAGAGATTCGTTGTTAGTCAGCTATGCTGGGTTTCTCCAGACTTTGCAGCCACCTGGCTTGAGGCCCAAAGGATTCTTGGGCACAGCCTTCGGCCGCACGGCTGCATTTTGGCAGCTTCTCGAATCGCACGATGTGATGGCGCGAAACTATACAATAGATGCTTTGCGCAGTGAGGGCCTTACGAGCCGAGTGGCCCAGGACTGAAGGGCTCCGTCCTGCCCTATGGCTTCCTATACTCCATGCCTTCGACCATCATGGAGCCGTGACTGCAGTAAGCATTTCAAGGGACGCTGAACAGCCCATGCTTTCTCGCAGCCGGAATCGAGCTTCCATGACGGTGTTGGTGACAACGGTATTCAACTTCAGACATCGTTCTTAGATTGTTCCTTCTTTTGGATTACGCCCCACAAACAAGTCCCAACGTGGCATGATTCGACAATCCCTTTCACAACGTCCTTTCCGAGGCCGTGATTCTGCACATTTTCTGGAGCCCGGATCTGAAAGGAGAAGAAAATCCGCAGGACCCTGTCCATGAACACTCGTCTGGTGGCATGCACTTGCCCGGCTCGAATTTCACATCGATCTGTCAAACTAACCGGTGACAGGTAGGTGGCTTCATGGCAATCTGGGGCGGCTACACTTTCGTGCTTGGCTTTCTCATTGTCTTCAGGAACAACCAGGCATGGAGAGAGAGAGAGAGAGAGAGAGAGAGGGGGCCTGGCCCTCCTCACATCTCCCCACGCTAGCCCTGGCGAAAGAAAAAAGAGAGAGAGTCGTGCATGTCCACCCATTCGGCCGTGTCTCGATTGTTAGCTAGAAAGGGTGGAGCCTGTTCGCAAAGGCCTACAACAGATTCTGGGAGGCAGCATCCAAAATGCACGAACTGCGGGGTGAGCTGTTCAACTGTGCCAGCACACTTTGTGCATATTGCTGCGAACCCAAGATGCTTGGCTGCTTCCCTGTTTTCGAGTTTGGAAACGACGTCTTCATCGTAACAACATGTCTGTAACAACCAAGATTCAGGAAGTTTGGACCAGAAGGCTCTCGAGAGCATGCGGCTGCAACGGGGCATGTGGATGAATTTCAGCACCTGCTCGTTCGTCTTATGAGCTGCTTGTCGGAAAAGTCGCTGAAGCCTTCACTTGCGAGACGCGAGCTTGTGTAGCGGAATCATTTCAGCTTGCTAAGGTCTGCTGTTCTCCTCCTGCTGTCATGATATTGCAAGCGAAGATCCCCACATAGCCCAGCTGAAATCTAAGAGCGTCGGCGACCTGGACATTCAGGCAGCTTTATCATTACAAGTATGACGGAAGTCTTGCGCATACTCCCGCTGCGTCAGGCTCAGAACCTGAACAAGAAGGCCCGCTGTCAAGTGCTGGAGTGGTTCTGCATGCTAAGAAGATTGTGTCGTGGGCATACGAGTATGCTTTGCCCAGTTTTGCAGCATGGATGCACCGTTCAAGACTTCTTCGGTCCAACGACGGATCGCATGCTGGAAGTGATCTGTATCATATGAAATCAATCTGTCGGCAAAAACTAGACGCATATAAAGAAGCCCCTCTCCACTTCGGATCTTACAGGTACGATGGTTGTCTCTGTGCAACAAGTGCTTCAGCAAATCTCAAATCCTTGTCTCCTGTACGAAACGCTTGGAATGGGAATGGGCAGTGGAGGCTGTGTCCATTACAAGTCTGCTTCATGCCTGTGTACGAGTTCCCCGTTGCGAGGGGTTTTGCGGAGCATGTCTGGCCTTTGCTACGTCTCGAAATGCCTGGCAGGGAAAGGGGTGGCAGCGTGAGTTTGGGAAAAAATGTGGTAATTAGCAAATCCAGATGAATCAACTGCCTTCGTGTTCATAGGAGATCTGTGAACAGGAAATGGGTAGGTGCTGTGAAGAACTTCAACGGTTTCTGTCCCAATTCATTAGAAGACAAGTTTGCAGATTAAGATTGAGAGTGAGGAGGGTGGAGCCAAAACCAATCCCTGTGTGATGGGCCTCCAGCATGTCGTATGGATTCAGTTGTGATTAGGTGCCGGCAACTTTGTCAAACTTCATTACAGTTGTAAGGGCCCGTTTTTGAGTTTGTGACGCACGCGAGGGTCCGTTCCGGTCACCATCCCGCAAGTCACATGTCAAGTTATTCCCTTCAGGCAGGTCACTTGGAGATGCAGGCCTGGGGCCGCTGATTCGGCGGGTGTTTGTACAGCCGGCTCGCAAGCCTATCATGCACGTTTTGGAGATGCGGAGGAAAGCCTCCTCACACATGAATTGTAACCACCTGTGGAAGGGGGGGGCGAATTTTGGAAGCAGGTCTTGGACCTGGGTGGCGTGCAAGCTGAGAGCAGCTTGCCTCAGACAACTCCATATCGACTTACGCATTGGTCCATGCTAGTGGAGAGATCGCCGCGAGGCCTAGTGCATCTGAATGAAGTTCCAAGCAGGCCGGGAAATAATGCTTGAAGCTGCAGACAAAGCTATTCGCCTGGCAGGTGCGAGGTAACAAGCCAGTGGATCTACAGGCTGAGATCCTTATCACACTGCAGTGCGGCATTGAGCATGTGAGGTTCAGTCGATGCTTGGGAGAAACAACGCAGGGTTGTGTCTCAGGTTGATTATCCAAAAGCAGCGTGAAGAACCTATGGATGGCATGCAGATCAAAGTTCTGGACGTGCCGCCGCCGATTTTGGGTCGACCGTTGGCAGATTTGGCATCAGCACTTGGTGACCTCTACCGAGTGGCAGAGCTGCAAGAAACTGCCGTTGTATTGGTAGGCAGGTGACGGTGGGAGACTCTTGGTGAAAGCGTTGTTCCTTGATAAGGATTGTGTTTATTTGTAGGTTTCCTACGAGGAAGCTGAAGCAGATCGGCCGTAGATTGGCAAAGGCTTGTCTACTAGTACCAGCATCCGCTGTGCCATGGGCACGCGGGCTTTTCCAGGCAGTACAACGTTTTGGAGAAGCCAAGCAAAAAGGCTAGAGTGATAAGAAGGATCCGGTGACAAGCGAGAGGTCAGGTTGGATGGGAGCAGCTTTTTTGCTGCATCGGCGTGACGATGCCTCTCTTATCCCCCTTCCTGCATGTGGACGTGTGGCTGAATTCTGACTAGTGGATTCTGATGTTTCTTACTTGTGAATTTTACACGGAGCTGCTTCTGCAGCATTGGTGCTCAGCCCAACTGATGGGTGTCCGGACAGGGCAGTCTAGCTTCAGACAGGTTCATATCATACATGTCCACACGAACATCAGTTCGGAAAGTTGCGCTTCAGTACTGGGGTTGCTGTCGAGCATCTAGCGTAGCTCATTAAGTAGCCCACTTTATCTATCCAAACCCCAGCACTGCCGGCCATGCCCAGCAGGTGCTTACAAGCATAAGCTTATTATGCTGCATCAAATCTCGCAGACTCTTTGTACCAACTGAACACCGCCCAGCACACACCCAGAACAGAGCATGCCCCGTCTGTCTTCTCGTGTCGCAGAGCTACGGTCACTGATGGGTCCCGGGCAAGTCTTGCGTTCACACGCTTGCTGGCACATTGCAAGCTTCAGGCACGAAAGATTGCGGAGATCCCGTTTCCTTTTCCATATGCCCAGATGATCTTGGACATGCTGTTGGTTTTCTGCATTGCCTACGCCTCGACTCTGGAGGATATTGATTTGCAGTTTCCAGCCCGAGCCAATTGTCTCTACTCGTGCCGATCATGTAGCAAAGCGCTCTCGCAAGACATGAGGTCACTCCGGTCTTGGCCAGCCAGCTGGTGAGTTCAACTCCGATGGCTCCTACATTGCAGCAGTGCGTTGTCCTTCTCTGTTCATTACGTAGTTAGCGCTTCTATGCTGGGCAGTATCCTGGGCCAGAAGCCGTTGGGGTAAGCCTCTTGCTCCGAAGTTCCAAGCAGCTTGCAGCATGTCGCTCGCAGCATATGTTAAGGCTTAAGTCTAAGTTAAGCCCCTATGATTAACATACCAATGAAGACACCAGAAAGCTTGCCACCTGCATACCGCTGGCGTGTCACCATACAGGGACCATACATGCCCACAGACTGGGCGGACGTCATCGAACCCTTGAGTGCCTAGAGCCTCTAACAGCGAAATTATTTACGGGCTGCCGCC